CCAGGACATGGGTCTGAGGCTCCAGGTGGGTTCGGTGCGGGCTTGGGGCTCCCCAGGGAGAGGAGCGGGTGGTCCCTGTGCAGGGGGCCCTGGTCCCCTAGCTGGGCAGGCAGCCCCAGGTCACAGGGAGGCCGCTGAGGCACCGTCAGGGCCCTGGGCTCTGGCCAGGCTGCCTGGGCTTGACCCCAGGGCTGCCACCCCTAGAGGGGAGATGGGGACGCGTTCCTGAGCCCGGCTGCACCTGCGGGTTCCCGCCTGCAAATGGGGGTGATGATAACCGCCTCCCTGAAAGGAGAGCACGGCTGGTGCGAGGTGAGCTGGTTCAAACACAGGGTCAGAGGCCCCACATCCTGTCTGCTCAGCAGGCAACTGGGTTTCTGACTGTAATTACCTGCCCACCCCCTGCACCTGGGAAGTCAGGCCCCCCCACCGACCAGATGCCTGTGGGGGAGGCTTTCCACCACGTGGGGACTTCAGGCTTCACAGAAAAGACAGGGAGGCTGGTGTGCACAAGGCCCTTGGGTGGCTGTTGTGGACAGGTGCCTGCAGGGCGTCCCTTCCAGCCAGCAGAGGGGGCGGGACTGCAGAGGGGCACAGGTGTCTGGTGACGTCACTCAGCTGCAAAGAGGGAGCCTGGGTCTTAGAAACACCGGGACCCCAGTGGCCTGGGCTCTTTCCTGCCCCAGGGTTGGTTTGGTCTGGCAGATGCTGGCTGTAGTTTCACTGCATATGCAAAGCAGGTGGGCCCTAAAAGGCTAAAAATTGCTCCTTTGTCTCTCTTTAAAGCAATCAGATGTGTCCACCTGGCATCTGGCAGGGGTGGCCTGGAGGCCGTGCCTGCTGTGAAGTCAGCACACGGGCGTCCTGGGCCAGCTCCCAGTCAGTCTCCCTCATAACCCGCCTCAAGCAAGTCCTCCTCCAGGAGACAGTGGCGCAGGGGTGCGTGTGCAGGGTGCCTGCTGGGGTGCCACTGGGATGGGAGGGACCACTGCGTGGCACCGCCGAGCACTCTGCTGACCCCATGGGGGAGAGCAGGGGCCTTCCCTGTCCCAGGAGGTGCGGCCAGGGCTGCACCGATACAGGATGTCCCTGGTGTTCCGTCATGTCTGCTGTGACTTGGGTGTCCAGTTCCTGAGGTGTACCTGCGGTGGCCCGAGATGTGTCCGTAGTAACTCAGGCAGGTCTCCTCTGGCCTGTGATGTCCTGTAACACCCAAGCTGTGTCTAAACTGCCCTGGGAGCTCCCCAGCTCACCAGGTGTGTCTATACTGACCCGGGATAGTCCTCATTCCCCAGGTGTGTCTCCTCGGAGCTGTGATGACTATCATGTTGTGTTTACAGCTCCCGAATTCCACCAGTGTACTACAATGACCTTTGATGTTGCCCCATTGTGCAGGATTTTTGGCTCTGACCTAGGATGTCCTAATTCCTTAGAGGTGTCTACCCTGAACTTGGATGACTTTTTTCCCCCTTTTTTCTTTTTTAAAAATTTTTCTTTAAAAAAAAAATTTTTTTTTAATGTTTTATTTATTTTTGAGGGAGAGAGACAGCATGAGCAGGGGAGGGTCGGAGAGACAGAGACACAGAATCTGAAGACAGGCTCCAGGCTCAGAGCTGTCAGCACAGAGCCTGATGTGGGCGATTTCTCCAGAATAGCTAAGGTATGTCAGGCAGGAACTTGGATGTCTCCCTAATTACATTCACCTTTGGTATTTCCTATATTATTGTCCAAGTGTGTATACGCTGACTTGGGATGTCTAATTGTGTGTACACTACGTTAGAGGTGCAGACAGTGGTGTGTCTACACTGTGTGGGCGTATCTCCTTTAATCCCCAAGTGTCTGTACTCTGATCCGTGCTGTGTCTGTAAATCCCCAGTCTGCACTGGCTGGCAATTTCTCCCTAAGTGTGCAGGAGTTTCCCTAGTGGCTTTGAAATCCCAGTAGTGCCCCAAGTGCGTCTTTACTCGCTGCACGTCATCTGAATTCCCTAGGTGTGTCTTGCCCTGACCAGGGAGCTCTTCTAGTTTCCCCAGCGTGGAGAACGTGGTCTAGGATGTCTCATTATTGCCGTTGGCCTGACACTTCCCCTGAGTTCCCGGGAGTCAGCCTAAGAAACCAGCCTAAGACCTGGGAGTTTTCTGGGAGAAGGAAGGTGTGTATACAGTGACCTGGGTGGTCTACTTCTGCAGTGTGTGTCCTGACCTGGGGTGTCCCCGACTTCACTGGGTGCGTTTAGACCTGTTCATATTGCTCAGCTGTGTCTGAATCATACTGGGATGTCTGTTTTCCAAGTTGTGTCTTTTTAACCTGTAGTGTCTTTATAAGTCTTAGTTCTGTCTGCCGCAGTCTTGGATCTATCCCGAACTCCCTGCGTGTGTACACTGATCTGTGACGTCTCGCCTCTTCTGGGATGTATCCGTATTCCCCAGATGTGTCCAGTCTTACCTGGGATTGCCCTGTCCAGGTGTGTCTACTGTGAACATGGATCTCTCCCTCTTCCAGGTGCGTCCACACTGAGGTAGGATGTGTCTACTTCCGCAGGAGTGTCTGCGATAAATGGTTTCATATCCCCCACTCCCTGTGTGTATCTACACTGACCTGGAAAGCCACCTTAATAACCTCAGTGTGTTTGCTGTGAACTAGAAAAAAAATCTAGTTCCCCAAGTGTGTTTCCTCGAACTTGGTCTCCCCACCCCAGATGCGTCTGCATTGTCCTGGGATGTGTCCAGAATTCCTGAGGTGTCCCTCATCTCACCTAGTGTCTCTGCCACATAACCCAGGTGTGGGTACTTTGATTTGGGGGATCTCCCCAACTAACTCCTCAGGTTTGTCTACACAGACCTGGGATGTTTCCCTAATTGTGCGGACACCGGTTATCTATACCTCGACCTGGGACATCTCACTCATAACCCAGGTGTGTCTTTATTGACCCAGAAATTCTAATTCCCCAGCTGTCTCTACCCTGGGGTCTCCCTGCTAACCAGGGGGGGGGGTCTTTGACCTGGGAGGCCTCCCTCCCCATCAGTTGTGCCTTCTCTGATCTGGAACAGGTCACTAATTCCCCAGCTGTGTCTACACTGACCTGGGATGTGCTGCCCCTTTCCCAGATGTGTCTTCCAGAACCCTGGCCATCCCCTTCATTCCCCGGCTGCGTCTGCGCCGGCCCAGGGTCTCTGTGGGACGCCCTAGGTGCTTCCACCCTGACCTGGACTGCCCTCTTCACTCACCACGCGGGTCTGCCCTAAACTCCACCACCTCTGAAAACTCCTAGCCATGCTTTCTCTGACATCCCCGTGTAGCCTACTGGGGTCCACACTGACCTGATAAACTCCCAATCCCTACATGTTTCCATTAGGACTTGGGATGTCACCCTCCTTCCCCAAGTATGTCTGCTCTGACCTGGGACATGTCACCAATTCCTAAGTTGTGTGTCCACTGACCTAGGATATGTCATTAAAATGGGGGCTTATCTGTACTGCCCTGGCATCTCCCTGTTTTCTCTGTCGTCCCTACACTGGAAATGTCTCGTTAATTTCACAGGTGTGACTGTCCTGACCTTTGGCGTCCTCCTAATTCCTCAGATGCATTCACGAATTCCTCAGGTGTGTCTACCAAAAATGGTACGTTTTCCTAACTTACCAGGGGTGTCTACACTGACCAGGGATGTCTTCTTGATTCCCTAGGTGTTTCAACACTGATCTACTATCACTCCACAGATCTCCAGGTATGTCTACGTCAATATTAGATGTTTTGGGTTCTTACAAAAATTTTTTGGGATATAATTGACATGTGAACATTTAGTTTTAGCATATTGACTTGATGTTTGTGTACTACAACATGATTACCACTATAGCATTAATTATACATCTGTCACGTCACAAATTCTTTTCTCAATGAGGACAATTGAGATCTAGTCTCAGCAGCTTTGACGTTTATAACACAGTGCTGTTGTCTGTAAACACCCCCTGTGCATCAGGCCTCTAGAGCTGCTGTGTCTCCTAGTTACAAGCGTCTGCCCTTAACATCTCCCTAATCCCCCCCCGCCCCCCCTGCAACCACAATTTGTTCTGTTTTTACAAGTTTGACTTCTTAATATTCTACATATGAAAGTATACAGTATTTGTCTTTCTCTGATTTATTTCACTTAATATAACTCCTTATGGTCCAACCCTCTGGTACAAATGTCAGGATTTCCTTCTTTCTTGTGGCCGAATATTCCATTATGTGTCCACACCACACCTTCTTATCCACTCATTGGTTGGTGAACATTTCAGTTGTTTCCGTATCTTGGCTATTGTGAATAATAATACTAATTATAATAATGGGGGTACAGATATCTTTTCAATAGCCTTTCCTTCAGGTGTGTACCCAGAAATGTCATGTAGTTGTTCTACTTTAAAAAAAATTTTTAACATTTATTTTTGAGAGACAGAGACTGAGCACAAGTGGGGGAGGGGCAGAGAAAGAGGGAGACAGACTCTGAAGCAGCTCCAGGCTCTGAGCTGTCAGCACAGAGCCCGACACGGGGCTCGAACTCATGAACTGTGAGATCATGACCTGAGCTGAAGTCAGGTGCTTAGCCGACTGAACCACCCAGGCACCCCAGTTGTTCTTTTTAAAAAGTGGCCTCCCTATTTTCCACAGGGGCTGAACGTTCCCACCACCGTGCACACGGGTCCCTTGTGAGCCTGTCCTTGCCATCGCTTCTCCCTTGCCGTCTGGTGACAGCTGTCAGGTGCTCACTCTGATGGTGATCTGTATTTCCCTGATTATTAGGGCCATGTACCTGCTGACCATTTGAGTATCTTTGGAAAAAATGTCTGTTAGTTCCTCTGTTTTGTAATAGATTTTTTGGGGTTATTACTGAGTTGTATGTTCTTTATATATTTTCAACTTTAACCTTTTGCCCATTGGTTTGCAGATATTTTTCCCTCGTTCCATAGATTGCCTTTTTGTTTTTTATTGTTCCTTTGCAGTGCAGAAGCTGGCTGGTTGGACACCGTCCTGCGGGTTTTTTGCTTTTGTTTGTGCTTTAGCTGTCCTATCCAAAAACCGTTGCCAAGATCAGCCTCGGAGAGCATCATCTGTTTTCTTCTGGGAGTTCTTTGGCATCAGGCTTTATGTTTAAGTCCTTAATGTACTTTGAGTTAATTTTTGAGAGTTGAGTGGTGTAAGACAGAGGTTCAATTTCATTTCTCAGCAAACAGCTGTCCAGTTTTCCCAGCACCATTTACTGAAGACCATCCTCTATTAGGTATTTTTGTGCCCCTTGTCAAAGAGTAGTTGATCATATAGGTTGAGTTTATTTCAGGGCTCTGTATCCTGTTCCATTGGTCTTTGTATCTCTTTTTATGCCAGTATCCTATGGTTTTAATTGCATGGTTTTGTAGTATAGTCTGAAACCAGGCAGTGTAATGCCTATGGATTTGTTCTTTTTTAAATCAAGATTTTTCTGTATGGGGGCACCTGGGTGCTCAGTTGGTTAAGCATCCAACTATTGTTTTCAGCTCAGGTCATGATCTCATGATTTGTAAGTTCAAGCCCCACACTGGGCTCTGTGCTGACAGTGTGGAACTTGCCTGGGATTCTCTCTCTGTCCCTCCTCCACTTGCTCTCTCTGTCCTTCTCTCAAAAATTAGTAAATAAACTTAAAAAAAAAAATACTGTTCTATTTGAGTCATTCTTTGAGAAGAGTTCCATACAAATTTTAGGATTTTTGTGTTTCTGTGAAAAATATCATTGGAATTCTGACAGGGGTTACCTTAAATCTGTAGATGGCTTTGTGTAGTGTGACCATTTTAACAATGTTAGTTCTTCCCATCTATGAACATGGGGCATCTCGGTCCCGTCTTCAGTTTCTTTCATCAAGCCCTGTAGTTTTCAATGTGCAGATCTTTCACCTGCTTGGTTAAATTTAGTCCTATTTTTATTGTTAAAAAATTGCTGTTGTGAATGATATAGTTTTCTTTATTAGATGTTCCATTGTTCATGTATAGGGACACACTGATTTCTGTGTGTTGATTTTGTATCCTAAAACTTTACTAACTTCATTGATTAGTTCTAACGGCTTTTTTAGTGAAGTCTCCAGATTTTCTATGTACAACATCCTATCATACACAGAGAATGACCATTTTGCTTCTTCCTTTCTGATTTGTATGCATTTTCTTTCTTTGTCTTGCCTGATTTCTCTGGCTGGAACTTCTAGAGCTGTGGGTTGACTAGGAGCAGTAAGAGTGTGAACTCTGGTCTTGTTCCTGACCTTACTGGTGAAAGGCGGGAAGTGCTTCCTCCGGGTTTGCTGTTAGCTGTGGGCTTGTGTGGCGACCCCTCGGAACAATGTGACCCATAAAATGTGGTTCTGGAGGAAAACAGTACACAAAACTATATAATGATTAATAAATGATTAATACAGCTCTAAAAAAATACCCATTGTAATGTCTCTCTGGGAAAGTGGTTGATTTATGACACGGGAGCCAGGCCCCCCTGGCCTGCCGTGGGCGGGATGCCACCTACTTCCTTTGTGTTGACTTCTCCACTTCCTCAGAGACCACGTGTTCTGATGAAACTTATTGTATATGCCTGATCCACCATAGCATACCTGCCTGAGCAAGTTCTGTTTTTCCCATAAAATCATATTCTGATCACTAAAAACAATCCTGGGATTGATTTTCATATTCTCAATAAATACGGGACTTCGGAGTTGTTGGGGCACCAGTCATTCTAAGCTGTTGTCCCCTGCTCCCTTTCTCTTTTATAGCTGACGTGTTTGTGCCTGATTCTTCTCTGTGCCAATACGGAAAGCGGCAGGCTTGCTGTTTACTATGTTTATTATGTTGAAGGATGTTCCTCCTGCACATGACTTAACAGTTTTTATCATCAAATGTATAGTTGCTGAATGCTTATTCTGCATCAGTTGAAATGTTAGGAATTTTTTCTTTTAGTCTCACATTTATCAATTAGTGTATGTTAACACTGCATCTCACGGATAAATCTCTGTTGCTCATGGTGCCATAACCCGTCTTATGTGTTGAATTTAATTTACTAATATTTTGTCAACTATCAGGGTGATGTTTGCCTTGTAAAATAAGTTTGAAAACGTCCCCTCTTCAGTTTTTTTGGAATTATCTTGGAGGAGGACCAGCATTAATTCTGGAAATGTTTGGTGGGCTTCAGCAGTGAAGCCACCTGAGTCCTGGGGGTTCTGTGCTGAGAGGTTTTTGGTTGCTGATTCAATCTCCTTACTCATTATCAGCCTATTCAAACTTTCTTCCTGACCCAGACTTGATAATAGTCTCTTATGATCTTTTGTATTTCCGTCGTATCAGTTGCAATAGCTTTTCTTTCATTTCTGATTTTGAGTCTTCTTTTTTTCTTTGTCTACGTAAAGGTTTGTCAAGTTTATCTTTTCAGAAACCCAGTTCTTAGTGTCACTGATCTTGTCTATTGCTTTTCTGGTCTCTATTTCATTTATTTCAGCTTTAATCTTGGAGAATTTACTTCCTTCCCTATGCTGACTTTGGGCTTAGTTTGTTCTTATTTTTCTAGTTCCTTGAAGTGTAAAGTTATATTGTTTATTTAAGATCCTTTAATTTTAACACATCCACTAATTACTATAAACTTCCCTCTCAGAACTGCTTTTGCAGCACCCCTTGGTTTTGGTATGTTTCCACTTTGATTTGTTTGCAGATTTTTTTTTTTTTTTTTTTTTTTACAAATAGTTTATTGTCAAATTAGTTTCCACATAACACCCAGTGCTCATCCCCACAAGTGTCCTCCTCCATGCCCATCCCCCCTCCCCCCCCATCCATCAGTCCTCAGTTTTTGTCAGCATTCAAGAGTCTCTCATGGTTTGCCTCTCTCCCTTTCCCCCACCATTTCCCCCCTTCTTCTCCCCCTTGGTCCTCTGTTAAGTTCCTCCTAATCCTCCTATACGTGCACACATATGATATTTGTCCTTCTCTGCCTGACTTCTTTCGCTCAGCATAACACCCTCAAGGTCCATCCATGTTGCTACACAGGCCAGATTTCATTCTTCCTCATTGCCATGGAGTATTCCATGGTATAGATAAACCACATCTTCTTGATCCATTCATCTGTTGATGGACACTTAGGCTCTTTCCATGTTTTAGCTATTGTGGAGAGTGCTGCTATGAACATTGGGGTACATGTGCTCCTAAGCCTCAGCATTTCTGTATCCCTTGGGTAAATTCCTAGCAGTGCTATTGCTGGGTCATAAGGGAGTTCTATTGTTAGTTTCCTGAGGAACCTCCACACTGTTTTCCAGAGGGGCTGTACCAGTTTACATTCCCACCAACAGTGTAGGAGGGTGCCCGTTTCTCCACATCCTCGCCAGCATCTAGAGTTCTCTGATTTGCTCATTTTAGCCACTCTGACTGGCGTGAGGTGGTATCTCAGTGTGGTTTTGATTTGTATTTCCCTGATGAGGAGGGATGCTGAGCATCGTTTCATGTGTCTGTTGGCCATCTGGATGTCCTCTTTGGAGAAGTGTCTGTTCATGTCTTCTGCCCATTTCTTCACTGGGTTGTTTGTTTTTCGGGCGTGTAGTTTGGTGAGTTCCTTATAGATTCTGGATATTAACCCTTTATCTGATATGTCATTTGCAACTATCTTTTCCCATTCCGTTGGTTGCCTATTAATTTTCTGGGTTGTTTCCTTGGCTGTGCAGAAGCTTTTAATCTTGATGAGGTCCCAACAGTTTATTTT